GCTCTGTCCTTCGTTAGGATTGATTTCCCCTTATCTAAACTAATTGCATGAGAGACCAAAGATTTCCACAACGTATTGGGAGATCTATTAAAATGTTTTGAGAAAGGAGAGCATCCAATGGATGATTGTTTCGTCGAGCGTATGTTCCAAATGTTTTTCTCAATAGCCGTATTTAAGGATGGTTTTGGACATTGCCAGTAGCTTAGCTTTGACAGTGTAAATGAGTCTTTCTACTACTCCATTGGATCTATGATCACCGACCGTAAATAGGATTAAATTAATGTTGTTCTTCTCGCAGAAGTTTCTAAAATCAAAAGAAGTAAAACATGACCCATGGTCAGTTCTAATGGACTTTGGAAATCCGTGAAGATGGCAGTAATCTGTCATGAAGCTTAAAATTGAAGAAGTCGAGGTATTGTTTACTACCTTTGCAGACGGAAACTTTGAAAAGCGATCAAAGCATAACAAAAGGTATTTTGAGTTACCCCAACTCTTGTCCAATGGGCCAGCAAAGTCTAAATCTACTTCTTCAATTGGTTCGGTCAGAATCGGTAATTTCTCAGTCTTGTTCGTCCCTAGTAACACTTTTATGTTCTTACCGGCCATTATAGACTGAGTGCAATTCTTTCCTTGATGGTAGATCTCTCTGTATAGGTGTGGCCACCAGATGTTTTCTGCCAGGGCTTTCATCCCGAACTGCCCAGGGTGAGTCTCGTGAAGGAGTGACAGGAATGGTGATCTTAATGCAGCCGGCACTATCAGTTTTTTATCGTTGAATAACAGTCCTTCTTTCACGTGAATGTCCCTCTGGAAGTTCTTTAAGTAGGCTGCGAATTTGTCCAATGGTTTGCCTTCCTGTACCGCCATCTTTACCTCCTTGAGGATTTTATCTTCGTCCGTCATGAGTTTAATAAGCTTATTTGAACAATGATCTGAGAGTGATAACGGATTGTCAGGCAATCTGAGATCTCCCTTGTACTGGCCAGTAATTTCTTGTGTAGGTCTGACATTATATCGTTATTAAAATTCAAGAAGATTCCTTTGTTTTCTGCCCTGCGGGAAATTTTGAACAAGTTGACCGATGTAATAAATTCTTGTAACTGTTTTTTTTATCTGAATTTAATGACTGATTGATTAATAATACTGATTGGGCAAGAAAGAACAAAAAAGTTTGATAAGTGAAAGTAATTGAAGTCAAATTTTGATAAATTTAATGGAACACTACCGCTTGTGCAAGACTCTGAACGCGAGTGATTGGAATTACAAATTCTGATAGTGTCGTTTACGTAATTCAGAATATTCGAGAAGAACGACCGTTGGATGCTTTGCGATAAATCTTTCTTTCCGCCCATTGGATTATTACAATCCAAGTTACTGATCGTATTTATATCCAATGGATTATACACTTCGTTCTTTGTACAATTATTCTTTTTACAATAGTTATTTACAGAGAGGTTTTCTACAATCTTTTGTACTGTAGCCACTACAAATTCGCTATCATACTGTGATGTTGGGAGTGCTTTTCCTGAAAGTAGTCTCGACAATAAATCTGTAAATCCCTTTTCTTTTCCCGGAATGTGCTTGATCTTGAAATTAAATGGTAAAAGTCGATTTACCCAACGGGTTAATCTGCTATGCATAGTTTTGTTGCCATGGTTTGCATTTAATGCTAGTAATAATGCCTTATGGTCCGTCACAATTTCAAATTCAGCACCATACAAGAAATTTTTAAAATGTTCTGTAGCCCAGACTACTCCCAACAATTCAAGTTCGTTTGTCGAATATTTACTTTCGTGGTTGTTTAAAAATCGGGAGGCGAATGCTATTTTTACCCAATTTTCTCCATCCCATTGTTCTAGGGTAGCTCCTAAGCCGTTATGAGAAGCGTCTGTCTTTAGTCTTGACATCCTTTTTATGTCGAAATGATTATTCTCTGTTATGTTCACTATCTGTTGTTTTAATTCTTCAAACGCTTTAGTATGTTCGTCATTCCATTGGTAGACTGATGTGGTGGTCGTAGGGGAGAACTTAGAGCAGACAAATTCGGGACGAATTTCATATACTGATTGATCGACCCAAAGAAAGACCTAAATTCAGATATATTTTTGGGGTTTGGTAGGTTTTTAATCGAATCTGACTTTCCCACCAATGGTTTCACGCCCGAGTTTGATATCTTGAAACCTAGCCACTCTATTTCTTTTTGGAAGAATGCACATTTCTCCCATTTTACCGCCATATTCTTGTTGTCCAAAATGTTTAAAATGTTTGTTAGTATCGCTTTGTGTTCATTTAATGAACCTTTCGAAGCTATTAAAATGTCGTCGATATAACAATTGGTAAAAGGAATGTCTTTCAATAAGGAATCCATCACCCTCTGGAATTCGTTTGGCATATCGCCCAATCCGTAAAATCCAGTTAAAAATCTATGGGTTCTAGTGGTTTCGCCCCCCACGATACTAAAATACACTGTTTGCTAGTGTCTGTGCATAATTGTAGTTGGCTGTACGCGTTCTTTAGATCTAGGTTACTAAACCAAACTTCCCCTGACTTTTTGCTTGACAGTTGGAGTGCAATATTATCGATCAGTTCATGTATGTTTGGCATCTGGTACTTGTTCTTGAATATCTGATTATTTAATAGTTTCGAATCTAATGCCAACTTGATGCTACCGTCTTTTTTTTTTGTAATCACTATTGGACTTATAAAACAATCTGCATCGCATTTGTTTAACTTTATGATATGCCCCTCTTGTTCCGTTCTATTTAGTTCCGTTTTTACGTTATTGAGTAGATGTAGGGGAACTATTCTACCTTTGCTTTGGATAGGTTTGAATGGGGAGTAGAAATGAGTAACTTTTCTGTCCAATGGTATTTTTCCACTCTGTTAAATAACCCTTTGTACTTATTATACAGATTAAGGGTCGTGTCTGAATAGTTATTTAACTTACACAACTCTGGGCGTGGTATGTTGTTGACAGGTAGTAGAGGCTGTCGTTGGGCTATCTCTCTTCCAATTCTCGGGAGATTGTCGTTTCCCAGGATGTTCCTCTCATGTCCAGAAGTGATAAAAAATGGGGTTTCGTCCGCGATCCATCCATTGGATTGTAATCTCACTACCACTTTCCCGATGATGTTGAATGTGTCGTTGGTGAATCCGCAATATAGTTCCCTCGTTTTCTTCTCAACTGGCTGTATCTTCAACTGTGGGTTTCTCAATTTCAATTCGTGAAGTACATTTTGTTTCAGGAAGCTCACTGGGCTTGCCGAATCCACTGGAATGTTCAAGTTGACTATTGCATCGTCTCCCAAACCGATGTTGACAAGTTTCTTGGTTTCCAAACCATTGGTATCGTAGATTGTTTTAATGTTGAGAACGGAATAGTCATCGTTATCACTTATCCCCTCTTCGGTCCAAGCGTTAATCACTCCGCAAAAATTTTCTTCGCTTCTCACCTGAAAGTCTTCTGGGGAAAATGAACAAATCTGACTATTTACAGCTTCATCTACAATATTTACGGCGGGTTTTCTTCCTTTCGATTTACAAAGTCTTCCGAAATGTCCTTTATATTTACAAATATTACACACAATTTCTTTCGCCGGACACACATTCAGATTACCCTTGGTAAACGCATTACCGCATTTCATACAAGTATTTGATCTTTCTATGTTCAAGCTTGGTTCCTTCTATGTCCAAGTAGTCTACATTGTAAGTCGCAGTTTTTCATGTTAAAAATAAATACGTCTCTCTGATCCACTCCTGTTCTGCATTAATTCCAATTTCACATGATTTTGCTAAATCTGATAACGCGCCCCAAAATTGTTCATAGGATTCTCTATCCTTTTGTTTCCTGCTCAATAATTTATATCGTTCAAATGTTATGTTGGTTAATTTGATAAAAGCCAATTCTAGCATTTCATAAAATTCCTTGAATGAGATTCCTAGGACTTTTACCCTTGGATGTTTCTGGGCGAAAACTCTTTTGCCTTCCGCTCCTAAGGCCAAGTATAGGATTGACCTTACTTTTTTATCGGCCTCATATCTCCTCATTCCTCCGAATTTCCGTTTTTCTTCTGCTAGTCTATTCTCTTCAGCGTGTTCGTAGACTCGCATTGTTTCTTTGTTCCTGACCTCCCTGGCTTTCCTCTGTTGGTCAGTTTCTGACTCCTGGACGCCCATTGGGTGGGAGGTTCTACCGTGTGGTTCGGCCAAAAGGCGGGTATTCCCCTCAGGTTCGAATCAGTTGTTGACTGCGCCATAATAAAGAGTTAAGATGTACCACTGGTAACTAATGTATCTAACTAAGGTTAAAAGAGAATAAAAGTATTGGTTGAATTAAATCTGACTGTAGTCTAAAAAAAGCAACTAGTGATCCGAAGTCCACTGGACTTCGTAGAGTTAACATTGACTGGTACGTAATTAAATGATAGAGGTCAAGGTTATACCATACTAAAAATACTGAATCACAACAGTTAATCTCATTTTTTCAACTTTGTATGATTGAGATCTGAGGCGCGGAAGGAGCTTGTATAGTTGGTAAATTTCCGTTGACTTTTGAGAAAAAAAAAACGCGATAATGTAAAAATCAATTATAGTAGCGCGCGCAGGAATTTTTTTGCAAAGATGGGGCAGGGGTGGTCGTTGAGGAGTTTTGTAACAAATTTTTTCCAGGCCAGTTAACTTCAACTTTTTGTGCTTTGCCGAAACCCTAGACTTTTGTTTTCATGAAAAATGAGGTTTTTGTGATAAAGCTTTAAACTAAAATTTTCAACTAAAATGTAACTTGAATTTTTCTTCTTACTAATTCCACCCAAAATATTCAAAATGCGCACCTTTTGCTAAGTGCGCGCTAGTTGCTCGAAGTATGCGCTACCGTTGCAATTAGTTTCAACCATCAGATGTGAGCATTTGGTTTTATGTTTCCGTATTTAAAGAATTGAGTTTTGGACGGAATAAGTAAAAAAGACCCAAATCATTAACCTGTTTAATTGAATTTAACTTACGGCTGCAAAACGTCCAATACTTGGAACCAAGCCAGAAAAGAGACCACTCCGAGGATGTAAAAGTCAGATGCAATCACATTGTAGTCGCCATGAGGAATCAAAAGAGTGAGTCCCAAGTAGACAGTCAGACACGCAGACAGCACTAGTCAGACATCAATCGAACTTGAGGCTTTACAATTGCAATAAGACAAAAAACGGGCTTCCAATTAGACCATTTCTTGGATAAGAGTTAACCGAGTCAGATATTCGCAAAACAATGATGTTCCAAAATTGAGGGGCCGCCTAAAAATGGCGTTCTTTAAATTACCAAAAAAAGTTTCAAGAAATCCCCAAATAGTCAATTCTGAAATGAAGAATTTCAGAAAACAACTGTTCCCATACTGGTAAGTTTTAAACATGAAATAGTAAAGATACTATATTAGGCAAAAAAATATCGGCTACCGCAGTTTGCACCATATATACGTAAATAGGAAGAAACCCGGGTTGACCAAAACTTCTTATCATACAATTTCCATATATGAGAAACTTCTTGTCATACAATTTCATACAATTCCATACGTACAGAAAATTGTATGAAAACTCTATGATAAGCATTTTTCCATATATGAAAATTGTATGATAGGTGTTTTGCCATAAACCAAAAATTTTGATTTTTTCTTTCTAAATTTAGTTTCTGAAAAATTTTCGGTTGTAATTGCAACCGAACACAAGTGACATAGACCTTGGTTACTCAAAACACCAAAGGTTGGACGGTCTTGCAACTACAATGCATAGAAAACGACCTGACTTAGGCTGTCTTTCACAATTGATATAACAAAAGTAACAAACTTTTATTTTTTGGCAAAACTTTTTAATGATGATTATATTAAATTTTTCAAATGGTATTTTGGGCCAAATTTTCAAAATTTTGGGACAAATTATGGGCCAAATTTTCAAAATTACTTGAAAAATTTTTTGTGTCGCCATCAAAAAAATGCCAGTCATACAATTTCCATATATGGGAATTGTATGATAAGCATTTTTTTCAAAAAACGAAAACCTCAGTTTTTTATCACCAGATTGTTTTATTAGAATCAAACAGCCACAAAAAAGAGTTTATACCAGTTTTCAACCATTTTTAGAAATTGTATGAAAATTGTATGACAAGCATTTTCCCACACACTTGATGTATGGAATTGTATGATAAGCATTTTCGGTGTATGGAGGTCAACCCGGGAAGTAAGAACGTCGATTGATGCCTAGTCTCGTTTTTGCCACACAGCCGACTCCGCCCATCACTCCAACTGGGCCTTTGTTGCTGCTGCTCTGGATGCCTCTTTTCTCTTCAGAAATCTGGTACTTCTGTACAAAGATAAAATACATCAAATATGTCTAAGAAAATGAATACATATTTGAGACCATTCAAGTAAGGACACGAAATGAAAAGCAATTAAACAGTTAAACTGTTCCAATCTGCTGGCAATACCGATGACCTATCTGATCAAAAGTTTTTTTACCATAAATTTTTGACCAAAAATGTGATGTTTTGGCGCAACTTTTCTTCAAAAATCACATGTATATTGAGGCCAAAGTTGCCTTTAAAACAACATGAGGGTCGCGCAGTCAAAAATGGATGTCGTAAGACAGTAAAAAATTGGGAACCCGAGTACTCATTGGAAATTCTGAGAACTACTCATTTTCTGAGTGCAATATTCGGAAATGAATCCGACACTATCCTCGCCAACAAACTCAGTTCAGGGTGGAGACAGGTGAAGCAAGTTACCGGGGCTATTTTATCTCGTGGAGCAGGGAGTTCAAAGCACCACGACATGGAAAAACTCAGGTATTGAGGATATAATTTACTCGCCAAACTAGATGCCAAAGTCAAGTGTTGAGACGAATCCAAACATATCCGAAGAGCTACTTTCAAGCATCAGCCTTCAAGCTGGCTCATGCAAAGACTTACATAAGAGGACGAACAAGGAGGGTGCTAATAATTTGCAGGTCTCGAACTCTTCTTCTCGCTTTTCGCGAAGGAGTAAAAAGCAGACACAATTTTTGGCAGTCCATTTAAACATTCAGTCGAGAGTGTTTCAGTAAGTCAGAAAAAGACAGAGCTTCAGACTGTGCGAGTACCTCCAGACTAAATACCTTTTTCTGCCGATTCAAGACCGTCGCCTCACAGCAGATCACCTTTGAAGCGGCTTAAGTTTGCGGTGTTCAATCAGGAGAAGTCAAGGTCAACTGATTTTAACTTTTACAGTTTTCAAAATTGACTTGAGGTTCAAAATTTTTTCTGGAGGGGGAACACAGAGGAGCACTAATACCCACAACAATAGATTAGTAAAGTTAATTCCCTATGTTATTGCTGGCCTGGAATTGTGCAACTGACAATTTGGCAAACACCTGCCAATCTTGTCTATTGGAACCTGATCTAAACTACATTTTATGATTGGATAAATTAGATATTTTACCACTGTAAAGTATTTAATATTAACCAATCATGATCCATCTAACTAACAACCCACTTATTTGTAAGTGCTGATATTACTCAGAGAGATTTGAATTTAAGAGAGATTTGAATTTAACTTAGAAATTAGTTGCCTCTCCAAGAGAACTTCAGCAGCCGCAATAAACCAGTATACCCTAGATCTATTGAGCCTAGCAGAGACTAGTTAAACAACCTGAGACTAGAATAGTATAAGAGTAAGATTAGGATCGGTATTAGACTAAGAAGTTGCACGAATCTATCCGGCCGAAAATAAGATAGCGTGACGAGCAGACGGTGTACCCTATCCGAAATTACTCTATGAGTTAAGACCATCGGTTATAACTCATCTGGTGCGACCATAAGTCTCGAACAAGACCTTAATAGCTTAGAATTAACCAAAAATAGATTAGAATTTAGACAAAACATTTTTAAAATGTTACACGACGATAATTTAATCGAAATGTCTCTACGACTCAATAGATCGAAGCCAATATTCCGAACGATAAGAGAACTACCCGGAATTGGAAGAAGACCTCGAACCAGAGACGACATACGACAAAGTAGAAACTTACCAAATAGTTATATGATAGTACGGCAAAAGCCAACACAAACTTTTATATTTAGAATCTTAGTAGCAATGAATTTAGATTTTCATTTGCAAACTTAAATCTTGAAGTCAATCTTCATGATCATTTCAGGCGCTAAACAAAATATTAATATACAATAACGATTGATAAAAAGATCTCAGATCGTTTTCCTAAAATTCTGCAGTATTCTATAAAACATGTTTGGAAAATATTTATTGAAAATCAAAATAAAAATTAGTAGCATGACAATAAACTGTTAGTAATCATAAAATCATCAGCTGTCCCAGCTTCATCACCTAAAACATAACAGCAATCATAAGCTCACTAATATCATTAAAACACTAAATCTTTTCTTAAATAAATTTAAACCATTTTAAACTTAAATTCACTTAATCTGAAAATCAGATCATCAAGGCTTATCCTTGGATCTTAATTAATTTTCTATTTAATTAAATTTACAAAACTTGATCATCAAGGCTTATCCTTGGATCAAAAAGAACAATTTTGTTCTCCCCCACCCACTTAGCTAGTGTCTAACGACCTCAAACGTCGATTCACTATCCAACCCTTTCAAAAACCCAAGACTAATAGAAATTTTTGAACAAAACTAATCATTCAAATTAGGATAAACAGTGAAGAACTTCGGTTATTCATCCTTCACTTGAACCCTCCTCTTACCAGACCCAGGATAAATCGTAGACTTAGTAAGTTTAAAATAGTATCTAACGAACTACTCGCGTTCTAATTATACCTGAACCTTGTGGATCGATTTACTATTCTCCAACCCTTGAACACAATCACTACCCCTAAGTAAGATTAAGTAAGTTAACACCTTAGCTTATACTAGCCACGAGAAAGTAAAAAATCATTCTTCGGAATCGATATACTTTTCTCTCCAACCCTGAACAAATAGACCCAGGTTAAGCTAACCAAAAAATCGTAAGGACTGACAATTTAAGAAAATAGAAATCATCTAACAACTTTTTGCATCCGTCATCCTAAACCTTAAGTCATTTAAAAATCTAGGAAACAAACAAACAATCGTTTTGCACAACTGTGAAATAGATAACAAAAAATACGACCTTGTAATCACACCTCACACACAAACAGTTGGATATATCAGAACAAAACGACAAACACTAAAAAGGAAAATAATAACTAAACAAAGACAAATAACACGAAAAAGATTTTCCAAAAATAGAAACGCATTCTCAGAATCAGAAGTCAGCAATTTAGACGAGTTTATAAATTAAAAGAATCCATTGATAAAAATTGCCCTATTCACGATCAATTATATTTTTCCGACTCAGAAACAACTTCAAATTCATCAAAAAGAGGAAAAAGAAGAATAAAAAAGCAATATAAACACAAACCAGTACACTTGTATAATTGGAATCAACCAATTAGACACATCGATAATTACTTATTAACAGTCATTAAACGAAAAAATGAGCCAAACACACACTCCAAGTGAAGATAGTCCAGACGATGACGATATCTACCCCTTCTTAGTAGATGCACCCGATAATAGAGGACAGCATGATCTTTGTAAGAACTTTCTCCTAAATTTGTTTGAACCCGGAATTAGCCCATGTAAAACAGAGTTCCCAGATGTAAAAATAAAAAGACAGATTATTGATCACTATCTGAAAGATATATGTAACTTAACACAACAATACGGAATCTACACCATAGAATTCAGCTCACCAAACCCGAAGAACCGCAAATATGTAATTCAAACAGACGATCTTGATTTAGAATTTTCAAAAGTATTCTCAGAATATATAAAAAGCATACAATATCATAACTCACAAAGAGCAAACTCCATATTTACTAATGAAGTTTTTGCAATAATATATAGTTATATTTCAATATTAGAAAACGAAAACCCAATCCCGCATATCTCACCGAATGAGACATCCAAACATATAAAGGTACGACATGAAATCACACTATTTTCAACTTTTCTACATATAATTAAAGAAAATTTCACTAAAGATGATGTTTCACAACATACAAAACATGACTTACAAAAAATTTTGGCATGGTTTATAATAGATTATTTCACACATAATATAGATTTAATTTCACAAGCAAGAAAAAATTTTAGACCCCAAAATTCAAACGATGATACCGCCATCACAGAACAATCAGACTACGTTTGGGACCCCGAATGGTGTCATTATGCATTCATAAATATCCCACAATCAATCTCAAGTCAGGCAATAAGTACAATATCTTATGTAAGAGATTATGTAAGGGTAATACCATTATCCATTGATGCAACACCATTAAACTACAATACATTTTTACCCGATACGCGAAATAACAGTTTAAATTCGACCGTCATACACAATGAAAACCTTAATGGAACTAGGAACCTCACTCAACAAGATATTCAAACACCATCACACTTCATAAATGAAGAAATTGTCCAAACAACAACTACACAACAAAGTATTTCACCAATACGTCCAAATTTAACAACACCAAGAAATACAAATACTTCACTAGCACAAGTAACCTTACAGTCAACCGTTAAACCTTCGGTTGCTCCAAAATATTCACAAATGGATTATCAAACATATAGACCCATGACAACACCGTCAAAAACACGCAGAACGTTCACAAGAAACACTTTTGCGGAACACAATTATAATTACGCACATTCATCAAAAACAAACTATCCCCCACGAAAAAATCATAATAATCAGATAAGATCTCGATATTGGGATAACAACCAATTCAGTAAATTTTCAACCTAATTCACATCCTCCACAGGATCGTAGTGAAAATTACCCATTCTTTCAACAGAATAAAAATAAAAAGCAAGCATCTCATCAAACGGATTATTTATCCTCTGATGATGATTATTTACAACCAGATATATTTGCACCATACACTCAAGAATATCGTGGACAAGGAGTGCAGAAACCGTATACATATCATAGAATTTTTTCTTCAACCCAACAGATACACAAAATCAACAACCAATACAAATGCAAAACCCAATTAATACACAATCTTTTCACCCAATTCAGCCACAAAACCCAATGATTACACACTCGTATCAACCAACACAAATGCAAAATGAAATACCACTTCCATATTGCCTTCAACAACACGAAATAACAAAAAATCAACTTTCAAATTTTTCACAAATGCCAAATGCCGCAGAATCATTACAAATGACAATGAATCCATACCTTATGGGTGGATCATCAATAACATCAAACAAACCATTAATGGTATTCACAGGAACAGACCCTGAATATTCTGTAGAA